CATACCTTAAGAAACATTTAAAAACAAAACATACAATAACAGTGTTGTATAACTATTGGTCTCTCCTCCTTTTGGAGCAAAGAAGAGAGAAGAAAATCAAAGACATGTGGAAACAGTCTGAAGGGTTCAGCCTTCACAGCCCTGAGACTAGAAGAATTTGATGATGCCCAGCTACCACTGCTGGCTTCTCTGAATGGGAGGAATCATAGTAGAGGATTCTAGATAGAATGGGGGGGAAATGTGGAACAAAATTAAAAATCATGAAGAAGACCAGCCCTACTGTTCTTACAGAGACTGGCGGAACTTCTTGTCCCTCTTCAGGTCTTGAACTGACTCACACCCAGGGCTCAACTTTTAGCCAAACAGTAGACAGGGTGGGGCAAAACATCAGAGAGAAGATCAAAAGTACGGTGTTTGCCCTTGGATAAAGCTTAGAAATCAGGAAAGGGTAGGAAAGAAGGAAGAATGGGAACAGGAAGCATAGGGAGGAAGTGGGAAGAGTGCTGTCACATTGTGGGGATTGCACTCAGTGTCACAAACAAAATGTATATGCTTTGTTGAGTGGAAAACCAATTTGCTCTGTAAACTTTCACTTAAAGCACAATAAAAAGTTTGTTGTTGTTGTTGTTAGAAAAGGAAGTTTTGGTGAGGATGTGGAGAAGCCGGAATCCTCATGAATTGCTGGTGGGAATATGAATGGCACAGCTGCTGTAAAAAGTTTGGCGGTTCCTCAAAAAGTGAAACATAAAATTACCACATGACCTAACAGTTTCACTCTTAGATGTGTACCCAAACAAATTTCAAGTAGGAATTCAAACAGCTACTTGTACACCAGTGTTCTTTGCAGACTTATACAGAATAGCCAAAAGGTGGAAACAATCCAAATGCCCATCAACAGATGAATGGATAAGCAAAATGTGGTAAGTACAAGTATATACATTACTTGGCCATAAAGAGAGATGAAATTCTGATAATGATACAACATGGATGAACAGAAGGACAAATACTATATGATCTCACTTATTTGGAAGACCTAAAATGCACAAATGCATTCAGATAAAAAGGAGATTAGTGGTGGTGGTGGTGATTAGCTACCTTAGAGCCAATCCCACCTCATCAACAACAGAACGAAGCAGTGCCCGATCCTGCATCATCCCAACAATCACCAGCATGTAGGAGCCCATCAGTGTGTCTGCTGTGCCAGTCCATCGCAATGAGGGTCATCGGCCTTCTACTTCACCAAACAAGAAGTCCGCCTCTTAGTAAATGATGATACACTCAACGCAAACAAAAGAAATGGTGTCCTGTAGTAATCTATGAGGCTTGCATGGGTTACTTGTTAGAAGTCGATTGTCAGGCCTTTCTTCCTATTCTGGAAGCTCTGCTGAAGTCCACCATGAGTGAGCCTACTCGTAACTAAGAAACTGGTGCATAACTTCCAGCATCATAACAACATGCAAGTCAACCCAGTACAACACACTAACAGAGTTCCTAACGTTGCAACATCCTGAAAACCTCCAATTTAGACTAAGGATACCAGTGATGGACATGTCCAGCCCAGAAGAGTAACCAGACTCAATCCCTTAGAACGTTCTTTCTCTTCTGTGTCAAAGTGCCAAATGCTTCTAGTAATTTTTAAACCAAGAGTATGTGTTCATCATAGGAAAAGATATTGAATACAGATAAGCAAAAATAAACAAGTTCTATGACTGAAAGATAGCTGCTGTTAATATTTAAACAGGTTTTCATACAGCATGTGTTATGTATGAATATATATACACTCACATCCTATAGTTCATATTAAAATACATGATTTTATAACCATGTATCCCTTTAACAATATACTGTGAACATCTTCCCATGTTAATAAACTTATACTTGGCATTTTTAATGACACCATCTTATTACATTGTATGGAATGTACCATGATATATTTATCTTTAAATTAGGAAGTTTTTTAGTCATACAAAAATAACACACAGGAAAAATACTTTAAACTTCTACCACCCCAGGGATTCCTCTCCTAGAGGCTTAGAATCATCTCAGTAACTAAGACTTGAATTCACTTTACGGTTATAATGTGACTCGAATTCTACCCTCACCTCCACTCTCAATATTCACTAGGAAGAATATTGTCCTCATGTTACAGAGGAACATTAAAGAGCTCAGCACAGAGAAATGGTATATCCTAGATCCAAAGTCCAAGCCCCCCACAAAACCCAAACCATTACCGTTGAATTGATTTCAACTCATGTGACCTTGTAGGACAGAGGAGAACTGCCCCCATGGGGTTTCCAAGGCTGTCAGTCTTGACAGAGACCACTGTCTTCATTTCCCTCTTAACCCCTGGACTGCGCACCACAGACCTGCTGCTGTTAGTAGTTGTCAATTCTGACTCATGACTCCCCGTTGTGTGCAGAGTATAACTGCCCCGTGGCATTTCCAAGTTATACCTTTCAGAAGCACATAGAGCTGTCTTCTGAAGCTCCTCCGAGTGGGCTCAAACTGCCAGCCTTTCAGGTTGAGTGCTTAACCTTTTGTACTACCCTAATGGCCAAGTACAAGGAGCTCTGGTAGGGTAGTGGTTACGAGTCGGGCTGCCAACCTCAAGGTCAGCAGTTCAAAACTACCAGCAGTTCCACGGGAGAAAGATGAGGCGTTCTGCTCCCGTAAAGACTTACAGCCTCGGAAACCCTGTGCAGGGTCACTATGAGTTGGAACCGACTCCTTGGTACTTAACAACAACAACAAAGGCCAAGTACACAAATACATGTGTACTTGTTTGGTGAATGAGTCAGTGAATGAATGGGACTAGAGTTTGATAGTTTTCTTTCATGTCATTATGTGCCATTGAATTGATTGTCACTCATAATGACCCTAAAAGACAGAGCAGAACTGCCCAAGAGAGTTTGCTCGGCTGTCATCTTCCCCCCTGGAGCCGCTGGTAGATTCCAAATGCCAGTTGGCAGCTGAGCACTTAACCATTCTGTCACCAGGGCTTGTCAATTTCTTCTATCTAAATACCTACCTGTATCTTCACTTCAGACAGTTCAACAAGAACCTATCTTGGATGTTTGAATATTTGTGCTTCTGCAGGCTTGGGCCACCACCTTAAAGCTCACAAATTGATGGATGTGTGGATTAACATGCCCTAAACCAAGGGCAAGGAGAAATGTTTACAAGCTCAATTTTCTACACATCCGCAGTGTTAGTCTCAACTGGGATGAACTTGCCCACCTTATAGCTGCCTTTCAAGTTCCTTTTAGGATATCCCTCAGTTGAAACTACTTTGTATTTATGGCATATCTTATTTTGAATAGCTCAGCTTAGCAGCGATAAAATAACAAAACCCACTGCCATTGAGTTAGTTCCTACTCATAGAGAGCCTATAGAGAATTTTGGTGACTGTAACTCTTTGCGGGAGAAGCCAGTCTAGTGGCTGGTAGGTGTGTACCGCCGACCTTGCAGTTAGCAGCCCAACACTTAGCCCACGGCACCACCCGGGCTCCTTTAGGAGCTATCACATCATTTATTAGACACCTCTGAGTGGGCTCAAACTGCCAGCCTTTCAGGTAGTAGTTGAGCGCTTAACCCTTTGTACCACTCAACAAGGCCAAGTGTACAATAAACACACAGTCCTGGTTTGGTACTGTAGGATAAGCACTGGACTGTGAGATCGGTTTGAACTGCAGGGCCGTCAACTCAAGCTCACCGCCTGCGCCTCAGCAATGCTCTACAGGGTCGCTATGAGTAGGAAATGACTGGACTCGAAGGCACTGAACAACAGCATGTTTAATGAGCGATTGTTGTAGGAAGTGCTCTTTCTGTTGATTGTAAAAAAAAAAAAAAAACAGTATCGTAGAATTAAGAGCAGTTTGCAGATTAAGATCACCCAGAAGCCATTCACCTCACAAGGAGATCCTTTCCCATGGCATCTTTCACCTCCCTCAGGGTCTTATCTGTGTGCACACATTGATTTTCACGTTGTTGTAACAGGGAGTTGGTGGTGTTTTTGCTGCTGTTTCTAGTTAACAGCTGTTGTTGTTTTCCCATTTCTCTGCATTTTTGTTGTTATGTACCATCGAGTTGTTTCTGACTCATAGTGATCCTGTGTATGATTTCTGAGGAGTGACTGGTAAGTTTGAACTGCTGAACGTGCAGTTCAAACTGACCTTGAGGTCCAGTGTTTGTCCTATAGCGCCACACCATTTCTCTGCATAGACATCATCATTACGTTCTTAAAGGCTCCATAATTCTCTGTTGAGCTGATGTACCAGCTTTAGTTCTACAGTTCCCCGGTGCTATGACTTTACAGTTTTCCACTAATCTCAGCCCCAGCAATGGAAATTGTTGCGCACAAAGCCCCTGTGTGTGTCTGCTCATGGTTGAGTCTTGACCATGTATGTGCTTCTGGTCCTGCTGCCGTTGAACAAATTGTCCCAGTTTGTGTCCCCCATGGTCCAATTTCAGTTCATCATTTACATTTGTGGTTGCTAATTTAGTAGAAGTACAGTGGTACTGATTATTAAAAGAGATGAGCTCTCTCCCCTGTGGCTCCGCTCTGTGCTTCCTGGGTGTGAGAGGTTGGCTTCCACTTTCACTCCTTGGTCTCTTCCAATGGGCCTGTTGAGTATTTTCATTTCAACCCTAGTGAAATCTTTGCCTACAACAACTATTGAACTTTCTCTTCTGTTCCATATCTTTCCTAGCACTGTGTTTGCCTTTTAATTTTTAGTATCTTTTTTGTCACACAAAGATTTTTATTTCTGTAGCCAAATCTGTCCGTGTGTTTGGGTTTTGGGAATGTTTTTTTCTGATGCTTCAAGGCATAGACAGCTCTCTCCCTGCTCTGGAGAGCTGATAAATATTTCATTCTACCTCCTGTTCTTTTTCAGTTCTTTAGTTCATCTGATTTATGTTTTAGTATACATTGAAAGGCAGATGCAAATGTTTCTCAGTCAGTCCTAACCTGGTTCCACTCTTTTTGTTCTCTTCATCAGGAATAATACACCAGATGAAGGGGGACTATGATGCGGCACTGAAACTCCACAAGACCCACCTGTGCATTGCCCAAGAGCTGAGTGACTATGCTGCTCAGGGCCGGGCCTACGGGAACATGGGCAATGCCTACAATGCTCTGGGCCTGTATGACCAGGCTGTGAAGTTCCACCGGCAGGAGCTGCAGATCTCCATGGAAGTGAACGACCGTGCCTCACAGGCCTCCACACACGGCAACCTTGCTGTGGCCTACCAGGCCCTGGGCGCCCACGACCGGGCGCTGCAGCACTACCAGAACCACCTAAACATTGCCCGTGAACTGCGCGACATCCAGAGTGAGGCCCGGGCCCTTGGCAACCTGGGCAATTTCCACTGCTCTCGGGGCGAATTCATGCAGGCCGCCCCCTATTATGAGCAGTACCTCAGGCTCGCCCCCGACCTTCAGGACATGGAAGGAGAAGGGAAGGTCTGCCACAATCTGGGTTATGCCCACTACTGCCTGGGTAACTACCAGGAGGCAGTGAAGTACTATGAGCAGGACCTGGCCCTGGCCAAAGACCTCCACGACAAGTTGAGCCAAGCAAAAGCCTACTGCAACTTGGGGCTGGCATTCAAGGCTCTGCTGAATTTCAGCAAAGCTGAGGAGTGTCAGAAATACCTACTGTCCCTTGCCCAATCCCTGAATAATTCCCAGGCAAAATTCCGAGCCCTAGGAAACCTGGGTGACATATTCGTCTGTAAAAAAGATATCAATGGTGCAATAAAGTTCTACGAGCAGCAGCTGGGCTTGGCTCACCACGTGAAGGACCGGAGGTTGGAGGCCAGCGCGTACGCAGCCCTGGGCACAGCATACCGAATGGTGCAGAAGTATGACAAGGCCTTGGGCTATCACACTCAGGAGCTGGAGGTCTATCAGGAGCTGAGCGACCTGCCAGGGGAGTGCCGAGCTCACGGGCACCTGGCTGCTGTCTACATGGCCCTGGGCAAGTACACGATGGCCTTCAAGTGTTATGAAGAGCAGCTGGACCTAGGACAGAAGCTGAAGGACCCGAGTCTAGAAGCCCAGGTCTATGGCAACATGGGCATCACCAAGATGAACATGAATGTGATGGAAGAAGCCATCGGCTACTTCGAGCAGCAGTTGGCCATGCTGCAGCAGCTGAGTGGAAATGAATCTGTGCTGGACAGGGGCCGGGCCTACGGCAACCTGGGGGACTGTTACGAGGCCCTGGGGGACTGCGAGGAAGCCATCAAATACTATGAACAGTACTTATCTGTTGCCCAGAGTCTGAATCGCATGCAAGACCAAGCCAAGGCTTACCGGGGCCTAGGAAACGGACACAGGTAAAAACGCAGGTGTGGACATCTGTGGTTGATAAACCTACACAAAGCGTGGTTGGGACAGTGAGGGCCACTGTGTCGATATGGCGGTTTATTGACTGCAAAACATTTTCACATACACAATCTCCTTTGAGTCTTCCAACAATTCTGTGAGGTAAGCAGGTAGTAGCATTACCCTTGGAGTCCCAGTGTGGCGCTGTAGGATAAGCACTCAACTGCAAGGCTGGTGGTGTAAAGTCACCAGCTGCTCCTTGGAAACCCTTTACATGGTCGCTGTGAGTCAGAACCGACTCAGTGGCACTTAACAACAGCAACATTACCTTTATGTGACCTAGGCAATGGGCTGGTACCTGCCAGGTCAGTGGCTTAAACCCATCAACTGCTCTTCCGGAGAAAGGTGAGGCTGGCTGCCCTTGTAAGGATTTAAGGTCTTGGAAACCCCAGGGAGCAGTTCCATTCTGTCCTATAGAGTCGCTGTGAGTCAGAACCCGTGTGACCGCACTGGGTGTGGGTTTGGTGCGCCATGCATGGTGCTGGGCACTTTGCACATATGTCTTATGTGCTCTTTATAGCATTCCTGCTGTGTCACGCATCCACTGTCACCTGCCAAGAGGGTGGGCTTTACCATCCAGGCACTAGGCTCTGGGAAAGGCATCCATGTACCGCTGGCCTTAGTTTTGTTGGCCACCAGATCCCTGATCTTTATCCCGTCACCTCCTTGCGGCACAAAAAACACAATGTCAGCCAGGGATGCTTTTATCCTGAGTGTGGGGACCCAAGGGTGTCTGTGTCTGTAGATCATCTGCAGCCTCCCAAGACAGGAAGGGGATGGAGGCTCCCGGAGCGGAGGCAGGGCAAGGGCCAAACTAAATCATCACCCACAGAGCGCTCAGGAAAGCACAGGGTGAGAGATTTACAGTCACTGTAAAGAGATTTTGGGGGCGAAAAAAACATCTAAGCAGTAGTGGAAATTGGGAGGCCCAAAGAACCCAAACAGCTCACTTGCTATCATCATACCTATTAATATATTTTATGTTCCCTCTGGGGTGTAGAGCCCATTGACTCTCGAGCTCTCAGGAAGGTCACTAAGGGATGCCTTTAGAATTGCTTTGCAGATTATGAAATGCCCCTGCATCTCACTCTAAGGGCGCCTGATAGATTTCAGCTAGGAGAGGAGTTAAGAGCTTCTATGGTAAGTGACAGTGACAAATGCTTTTCATTTTCTCAGGGGCTTTAGCATGTCTGTACCTGCACAGAATAATATCACCGCTTCTCTGTCTGCTTCCCCGCAGGGCCATGGGAAGCTTGCAGCAAGCCCTCGTGTGCTTCGAAAAGAGGCTCGTGGTTGCCCATGAGCTTGGAGAGGCCTTCAATAAAGCCCAGGCCTATGGGGAGCTGGGGAGCCTGCACAGCCAGCTAGGGAATTATGAGCAAGCCATTTCCTGCCTAGAGCGCCAGCTGAACATCGCCAGAGAAATGAAGGACCGAGCGCTTGAGAGCGATGCGGCCTGTGGCCTGGGGGGCGTGTACCAGCAGATGGGAGAGTATGATACTGCCCTCCAGTACCACCAGCTCGACCTGCAAATAGCGGAGGAAACCAACAACCCCACGTGTCAGGGCCGAGCCTATGGGAACCTGGGTCTGACCTATGAGTCTCTGGGCACCTTTGAGAGGGCGGTGGTCTATCAAGAGCAGCACCTGAGCATCGCTGCCCAGATGAATGACCTGGTGGCCAAGACAGTTTCCTACAGCAGCCTCGGGAGGACCCATCATGCCTTGCAGAACTACTCCCAAGCTGTCATGTACTTACAGGAAGGTAGGTTAAGTACCTGTTGTGGATGCTCAATCTCCTTGAGATCAAGTTCAGGTCTACTCAGAAGGAAATAGGCAAGTTGGAGTTGAGTACCTCTGGGACCACATTGGCAATTAAACCGCAGAACCACGGTGTCCCCACTGGGTGTCCCTTGCTAGTTCTGAAGGGTTTTATTGCCTAGAATGCCTTACCCAGCTCTCTCTGGGCTCCAGCTGGCTTACCCTCTCTGACAGTGTCCACCACTAGCCAGCTACACTAGGAGCCGGTAGCCTCCTTGTCGCCCAGCCCTCTCCTGGGTGATCACAGTCACACACAGATACACCATCTGTGATTTCAGGCTCCATGTAAGAAGAAAACAGCTGTCTGCTTCAAACTCAGTTGTCCTTCTAGAAAAGATCTGAACTATCAAAACTCTATGACTCCAAAAAGTTGATGGGAAAATAGAATTTTCAAATGATGTGTGATTTTTCCATGAACTTTTTGAAAGCCCCCTCTTCTGTAATATCTCCCTCTCAGAGTCACCGTGTGTAAAGTAAAATCCCTGAGAGATTTTTCACTAAAGAGGAAATGCTTTGGCCATCCCAGTGTCCAGAAGAACTAAGATTTCCTTGGGAAGATACGAGGGGCTTCAAAATGTTTGTGGCAGAATGGAATTTAAAGATAATTGAATTTTTCCATGAAGTCTTTGAAGCCCCGTTATATAGAAGGCAATTCTGAGAGGACAGTGAAGGTCTCATCAAGAAGCCTCGGTCTCAGGGTTCCTCAAGTACTAGAGCCATCATCTTCCCCAGGGGTGATCGCCTACCATACTAGGTTGGTGCCACAATGAAGGCTTGTCCCAACCCAACCCAGGAGCTGGCTGGGTGCAGGCAGTCCTCTGGCACTTCCAGCCTTGGAAGACGAAGCCCCTATAGAAGTACATTTGGCCTCCTTCTCTTTAAATTGTATGGAACCTTTTATTCCTGAAAGCCCCTCCAGGAACAGGCATATTGGAGCCTCCCACCCTGAAGGGAAGAAGCATAAAGACGATACCTCCTGGCTTACCTATGAAAGAAAATGGGGCTGGTTTCGTGAATAACTCCCATCTCTACTTACCATGGGGCTTTGCAGATAGAACTGACTTACTCTATTGAATTCTCACCACAATCTTGAAAGGGGAATCTGTCCGTCCCCATTTGGCAGCTTGGACAGCTGAGGCCCCGAGAAGAACAGTAATTTGTCTGTGGCCATGTAGTTGGCCAGTGGTGGAGCAGGGCTCAACCTGGTCCTTTTGACCAGGAACTATGCAAGGCCTTAACCTCAAAAGAGCAGAGCCGGGTGGGAGCAATTGCATCCCTTGATACAGTAGGACTTCTGAGTCCAGGTGAGAAGCGGGGGACCAAGGGAGCAAGGAGGAAGATGGAGAGTGGGTGAGGAACTGGTAGGCCACTGTTCCCACAGAGCAGAGATGACCGACCTGTGGCTAGGATGTTACAGACAGAAAGCCACTTCCCGAGCTCATCTGGCCTCTACCTCAGTGTATCAAATACCAGGGCTGACTGTCCCTTTCCTGAGGCTTTTACAGTGGTGAAATTCCACCAGATTAGTGATTTTCAGCTGAATCTGTCAAAGCTACTGAACTGAGGTCCCTGTAGAACTGCCTCTGCTGTGTTCTTTTGTCACTTCTGGGAAGGGGTTACTTTGCTTGAGACATCACCGTGTGATTCTATAGTCATTAAACACTCTGGAGCGAGTGCTTACTGCTTCTTGTTCTTTTAAGTATTCCAGCATCTAGAATCTGATTTGGATAAGCTCCTTCAGAGCTCATGGGCCATGCCAACTTCCTCTTCTCAGGAGCCGGCAGCTCAGGAAGGTGCAAGGTGCCTGGCAGACCCCTTCCCAGAGCTTTGACTCTTAATAAACTGAGTTGGAGACCCCCCCCCCCCCGCCCCCCCGTGCTGTCTCTCCCAGCTTTGGGATGGGACTGTATGCCACAGAGCCCCAGGTTGATACGGTCTGCATCTTTGAAACAGATGCACCAAGCGATTCCGATAGAGTCCCGGTGTGGTGTTGTAGGATAAGCACACAGCCACAAGGTTGGTGTGAATCACAAGGTTTGCAGTTCAAACTCACCAGCCACTCCTGGGAAATCCTATACAAGGTTGTCAGGAGTCAGGACTGACTCGATGGTATTTAACAACAGCAGTGACCCCTGATATTCAGCTTGCTTTCTTCTTTCAAAGAAGAAAGGGATCCCTGGGTAGCACAAGTAGTTAAGCACTCAACTATAAGCCAAAAGGCTGATGATTGGAAGACACCCAGAGGTGCCTCAGAAAAAAAGGCTTGGCGATCTGCTTCCAAAAGGCCCCTGCTTTGAAAACTCTATGAAGCAGTTTTGTGCACACAGGGGCCGCCATAAGTCAGAATTGACTCTACGGCACCTACTACCACGCTCCAGGAAAGGTGGCTGGGTGGGTAGCAGCTGCCTTAGAGGCAGAGCCAATAGACACTGGGGATGGGACACATGCCACATTTGTCCAGGTTCAATCCTGGGCCTGGGAGTCTCCCGAGTGTGGAGAGACAGCATGGACCAAAGTACCCACTCACATCAAAAGGTGTCCCCCCCAGGAGGCTTCCCTCACCGGGTTCTCCTGACTCTCATACCCAGACCAGCAGGATAAAGAATGTCTTGGAAAATGCATGCAGTTAGCTTGTTGAAGGTTAAAACAACCAACAGCCTAGGGGTGTTACCCAAGAACCATCTTCTTTCATCTGGGTTCCTTTTCCTTTGAGGATTTCACAACGTGAATCATTTGCAAGTATGATTTTGTTACCCAGTGACATGATTTAAAATTTAAATGCCACTTCTAAGTTTCCTGAGTTATGTACCTTTTTGATAGCATAGTATTTTATGAGCTGGAGTCCAAGCATTGCTTTTATTTTCCTCTCAACTGACTCCATTCCTTTTCCAAAGTTCGAAATTGCACAGTGTGTTTAGCGGCAGGGTCCCTTCCTCTAGGAACCAGATCAGAAGAAGGGGCCCTTTCTTTGTGAGTTCAATTGTAGCACGGGAGCACACATGCTGTCTCTGACCAAGCTCATGGCTGTGTGCAGAAAGACAGATAATGAGGGAGAAGTAATGCTGGCAACTACTGCCCTCAAATTTAGCCCCCACAAAACCCCAGAGGTGGCTAGTGTCCTGAAATCCAGAAGCTAGCTGTGGGTGACTGACCCAGACGGCAGGTGCCTATCTGAAGGCCATTAGAATGAGGATAGTATCATATAAAGCTTTCGACTCGTAATAGCAATAGTTTAGCAATCCCGCAGAGGCACACTAAAGCCTTTGACTAAAAGGAAAGGCAACTTGGCTTCAGTAGCCCCCCTAAGAAGGCAGGTGAGGCAGTGCGAGAGTCCTGCTTTCTAGAGACGTCATGTGTCTCCCCCCGCCCACCCCTACACGCACACACACACACAGAGACTGGAGGCTGTGCACGGGTGATGGGGATAATAGTGGGACCTGTGAGGGGGAGACTGCCCTGTTATTCTGGGTCTCACAATTTCCCACCTTCATTAGGGTACAGTCCTCCTGCTTTTCTCTTGCTCGCTGTAGTAGTAAAAGCTTGCATTTTCCTTCCCCGTGTAGGGGTTCCACCTTGACCACATTTGACTGTATCATCTCTGCTTCTGCACTGGACAGCAGAGCTGTCAGGAAAGGGTTTTGGAGGCTAGAGATGCAGGCTTGAGAAATTAATAGGCCAGGAGTTCTCATTTGCGATGTTCAGGGTGGCCAGGTTAGAGTCCATCTGTTGGCACGTCTCTGTCTGCCCTGAAAACCTGTCTCCTGCTGCTTGCCATCACTGAACTCTTGCTGGGGCATCTTGCAAGGGCCTGGAAAGGTCATGCCCAACATGGCAATTGCAGACACTACTTCCTGTGCCCAGGCTCTCAGCCAACACTGCTTTTTACCCTCCAGGTCTCCTTGGCACAGTGGAATTGTCAGCTCTCTAGGTTTCCTTAAAATTCCTCTATCTGGTTTCAGGTCTGAGGCTAGCAGAGCAATTGGGCCGAAGAGAAGATGAGGCCAAAATCCGCCATGGACTTGGCCTCTCCCTTTGGGCTAGTGGAAATCTGGAGGAAGCCCAGCACCAGGTGAGTAGAGAATCCCTGACCCAAATGGATGTTTCCAGAAGCAGGAAAGAACTTGGGGTTTCCATCCCGGTGGTGGTGGCATTGGGCTGATGTACAAGATTCCTAGCAAGGGCCCGCCTGGAATTGTTGACCCCATGTGGTCCAGATTCTTGCTCTCTTGTGTGCTAGATGTCTCAATAATTTCTGTGGAATTCTCATGTTTTGTACTGCTGTTGTTCATTAAACTTCACTATGAAATAAGATATATTTCATGGGGGAAGTAAGTAATCCAAGCAGTCATAGCGATGGCAGTTAATATCCCTATAGATTTCTAGTTATACCAACAGACATACCTCTCCCACCTCATTCTCTTCCCCACTGTTCTGCCCCCTCCCACCGCCTCTCGATTTCTCCCACGCCAAGTTTATCTTCCTGCACGTGCCCAAATAGCTGGCGTCCATTACCATGCTGACTCTAAAGATGAGAAAGTTACCCAGAGTTATGGCCTTTCCCTGTTAGGGTGGAGGAGTTCTGAGGTGGCTACATCTAAGCAGATTGTGCATTATCCACCAAGTCAATGTGAGTAACTACTGTGCAGGATATGGTGCTAAGCAAAGGAGGAATATTATTGTTGTTAAGTGCCGTCAAGTTGATTCCGATCCATAGCGGCCCTGTATAGGAGGATCCATAGCAATCCAAGGAGCTGCTGGATGAGCTTGAACCGCCAACCTGGCAGTTCAAACAGACTTTGCAGTGCAGCGCATTAACCCACAGCGCCATACCAGAACTCCAAAGGAAGAATAAACAGAAGTAAATCAGGGCCCCTTTGTGGGCTTACAAGAATGTATCACCTGATATGACTGAATGCATGTCACAGCCTGCTAGAAAGTGGTAGAATCTTCCTGTACTTTGTAAACTGTTAAGGCAATCTGAGAAATGAATCCCCTAATGTCCTGGTGATAAACTGTTGTCATTGTACTTTCATTTACTGAATGTATTCCCCAGGTCGAATGCTCACGGATGTAGACACTGAGGCTCCAAGTCTTGCTAAAAATCACACAACAGATTAGTGGCAGGGCTAGAAAGCGATTCCTTGCTCCTAGTCTAAGTCTCCATTCAATATGTACTGTGAACCACATGGTCTGTCATTTGAGCCCACCAGTCACTCTGCTGGAGAAAGATGAGGCTTTCTGCTCTCACAAAGATTTAAAGCCTCAGAAACCCTGCACAGGGTCACTATGAGCCGGAATCAACTCAACGGCACTAACAACAAGTCTAAGTCTTAGTCTTAGAATTCTTTTTTTGTTTGTTTAATTTGCATGCGCTTAGAATCAGATGCTGTTTCCATCATGGTAGTCTCAGCATCAGAAGAGTTTGGTACACAGAACACTGATGGAAAAGTCAGCTAGGGCAGCAGGGCATTGTCTCCATGAGGAATGTCCAATGGGCAGTTCCAAGAGGGTGGCCGTGGTCATGGCGTTTCAGTTTTTAATGTGGCCCGGCTCCCTGGTGCCCTTCCAGTGGAGACCTGACCACTGTGCACAGAGATGGAGGCCGTGTTTGATTCGTCTCTGCAGGGTGCAGCTGCCTATAACCCAGAGTCTCTCCTGAAAGTGGCTCCCTGTCCCCTTTCCCCCAGCCTGCCACCTCCACCTCACAGGTTCCCACTCTGATTCTCAGCATACCCAGGCCTGGGCTGATGAATAACGGTCATTGGATGACTTTTTTGTTCCAGTCAAAATTAGTGCATTTTACATTGCTTTTTGTTTTCCTTTACTTAAACCCATCGTTCAAGTCATAGTCTATAACCTCTGTCTTTAAATGCCAGGATCTGTCAAAAGTTGATTACATAAATGATCATTTGCAGGATGGGATCTTTTTAAATCTGCGAGGATCTACCTGGAAATAAAGAGTCTTTTCAAATCTGTTTAAAGTCTTTAGATTGTGCAAGAAGCACTGATAGCTCAGTGGGTCACACATTGGGCTGCTATCCACGTGGTCAGTTAGTTGAACCCAACCAGCCACTATGCAGGAGAAAGATGGAGCAGTTCACTACTATAAAGACTGGCAGCCTCAAAATCCCTATGGAGCTGTTCTACTCTGTCCTACAGGGTTGCTATGAGTAACATGTCAACTTGATGGCAGCGGGTTTGATTTGGGGTTTAGATTGTACACCAAAACGTGAGCAGTAGTTGTCTTTGGTCTTTAAGCAGCAGGATATGGGTTTGCTGGTAGTGGGTGACATTCTTTATCTCCTGCTTGCAGCTCTACAGGGCATCGGCCTTGTTTGAAACAATCCGACATGAGGCACAGCTGAGCACGGACTACAAACTCTCCCTCTTTGACCTGCAGACATCTTCCTACCAGGCTTTGCAGCGGGTGTTGGTCAGCCTCGGTGAGAGAAGCCAGAGTTCCGGCTTGTGTGTGCATATGTGTGTATGCAGGGGGTTCTGAGAGGCTTAGCAGTTACTCTGATGAGATAGGACTTGTTATAACAGACAAAGGAGCTGCCACCATCATCTAGTCATCCAATGTCCACTCATTTGTTCAACAAGTATCTCTACAGCTCCTACTGTGCGCCAGGTGCTAAAGTCAGGACACCTGGTTCCTGACCTCAGGAAGATCTCAGTCTCAAGGGAGATTTGGATGAATGAGTCCAGGACAGTGTGCTGGGGGCTGGGGTGGAGTGAATGGAGCTGGGTTGGGGTAGAGTTATGGAGTTGCAGTGGAGTGATGGATGGGGGCTGCAGTAGAGTGATGGGGCTGGGGTGGAGTGATGGGGGCTGGAATAGCGTGTGAGGCTGGGATAGAGTGATGGCGTAGGGGTAATGTGAATGGGCTAGGGTGGAGTGGTGGGGCTGGGATAGAATAGTCTTAGATGCTGGAGAGAGTAAGGGGCTCAGCAGGCTGACCCAAAAAACAGACCACGTGACCCAGAGACTGGGTGCTTAAGGCAGGTGTTTGTGGAGAAGGTGACTTGACAGGGGAGAGGAAAGAAGCGAGAGCCTATTGTCTCTTCCCTGACTAGACGCCTATCCCTCCTCCATTTCCTCAGCCACATACCTATCCATGCTGCTGTCTCGTAGGTGTGTTTTCCACCTGTCTGCCCTTGGTGTTTGTATTCCCCACCACATGGACATGGTATGCATCATTCCTCACCTGAGTCTCCACTCTCACTACCACCCTCTTGCTGCCTCCCCTCTGCCATCTTCCACCTTTGCCTGGGTCTTCTTGTCTTACCAGAGCATTGTTCCCAACCTGGAACCCTGTTTGAGGCAGTGCTCACAGAATGAACAGTGTCTTTGCAGGCTAATGCTGAGGCCTATTCAATAACCTGTCCTTTGCCAAATGTACATGAAGATTCTAGCTTCTCCTTGAAAGATACATCTATTAAATGTGCTCATTGCCTGAGATTACAATTTATTATCTATTATAATCACAGTGTTAAGTCTGTCTAGCACTTTGGGGCCAATTTTCCAATGTGCGGAGAAATGGTCCCTGCTGTTTCAGTTAATAACTTAATAGAGTAAAAGAAGGCATTAGCATACACACATTCAGCCTCACTCTCTCCTCTCCTCACTCTCTGAAGCCAAGGTGCAGGAAAGCCAGGTAACCTGAAAGTGCTGGCACAGCTGCAGCTTCCGGCCTCACCCCAGCTCTCTGACCCTAGTTCTAGTACCTTGTCCATATAGATGTACAAGGGGCATCGGAAAGTTCATGGGAAAAAATCCATTATCTTTTCTTTCCGTTTTTCATGAACTTTTTTTCTGTTTATAACACAAGCAAGTGGATTAATCATCCTTCAGCTCTTATACCAACCTCCCTTGAAGCACCGTGGTTTTGCAGCGTTTGTGCTTCCTTATTTGTACATCAGCTTTTAGCTTAGAACCCCCATGTGTTTCTTAGTGAGGAAGCCATACTGGAAATTGAAGTGAAAAGCTGATGCAGACCTTGGTGGTCAGGGGGAGAAGCTCCAGGAGCGGGCCATCATGTGCAAAGGTGTGAGCTGGGTGGGCTGGGCCAGTGTGGCACATGAAAGGACTAGAAAGATGGCCACTATCCCTACCATGGGACTCACATCTGTCCATGTGAGTCCAAATCAAAGTCCATCACGAAAGTGAGGACTTAAGAGGCAGTGTTGATAAGTGACAGGGTGGAGGCCAGGTCAGGAAGCAGTCCCTGATGGGGAGAGATGGGCAGGCTGCAGGGACGGCTCTAAAACCAGTGTGCTGTCTTGTGGTGCTGGTGGGGGACAGGAGGAAAACCTGGGGCAAGGAGGCAGTCACACTGGTTCTAAAACCGGGGTTTATAAGAGTGGGTGATGCACTGCCATCTGAAACAGTGGGACTATGACCCATCACACTTGGGTGTGGGTGGCAGTCAGGTGTGACCTTCACTCTATCCCTGTGTCTCCTTAGGCCATCACGATGAAGCCCTGGCCGTGGCAGAGAGAGGACGGACAAGGGCATTTGCTGACCTGCTAGTGGAGCGCCAAACAGGACACCAGGACACTGACCCCTACTCTCCAGTCACCATCGATCAGATCTTAGAGATGGTCAACAGCCAGAGGGCCCTGGTGCTCTATTACTCTCTGGCCGCAGGCTACCTGTACAGCTGGCTGCTTGCTCCCGGGGCAGGTGAGCACCCGTTAGGTGGGCACAGGGTAATTAAGACAGCAGACCTGTGGCTGGCTAATGAATAGAGGTGGAAGAGGTACATCCTCATAGATCAGACTAAGGAGCTGACGTCGGCAATAATGCCTCAGCCAAAGTGATCCTCCATAGTAGGGCATCCGTTAATAAGACAGCCGGCACTCATGGTCCCCCAAGAAATCTCTGAGCCTTCCTCGCCGGTGAGCGTGGAAAACTTTATCAAGGAGGACGGAGAGCGGGAGGATTATCTCAGCCTTGTTGTCAGCAGCCATTGTTCATTAGCTGATCAGGAGACACCAGCGAGTCCTAATGAGTTCTTTCTGGGTATGATTTCATAATTGGGACCCTTTATCATGGTGCAGTTAAAGAGACTCAAGTGATAATGGCCACCGGATCATAGTATGTAAATGAAGTCTTGAAATGTCTGGCTTTAGCAGAACCCATTTTTAACCATTTCTGTTATCAATCTAATTCGAAAGTTAAAAAAAATCCCCTCTAATGGCGCCAGCATTGCATGTCCAGACTGTAACCGTTTCAACTAAATTCAGGCCCACTGGTTGGCTGTGAGGGCCATATATATTTGCATAATAAAATGCTGGTGGCCTTACCATGTTGAAGACACCACTTTCTAGTAGAGTTTGTTGACTGGGGAAGTGAATTTGATCATTGGACATCTTGAAGAACAGGTTTCTTGAATATCTGTACGTCCGTTTCACAAAGTTCAAAGGCTGGAGAGTTACTAAGGTTTTCTTGATTATGTTTCTGTCTCTTTAATAAAAAAAGAAAGAAAGAAAAAGACAGCTGGATGATAGCTCCCAGATGCTGTTTCAGTTCTGAGTGCTCGCAGCTCTGCGTTCTGTGTCTCTGACTTATTTGTTATCATCGTTTCTCCCTTCACTTCATGTTCTTTATGGCTCTCTCACGAAGAATGCTCTTGCTTCCCACCCTTTTATGCTAACGGTTTTAAATCACGGTTTTCACGGGGACTTGGTTAATGGCCCCTGCCATGGAATCCTTGTGTATCACAGCTCCGAAAGATGGCACAGACAAGGACAAGGTGGAAAACGGGAAGGGGGCGGGGTATCAAGCTTTTTCTCTCTGCAGTTGTTACGTTTTGGGGACATGACTTGACAGGTGGTATATCCAAACCCCTGTAATAATGTGCCCTGTGTAATGAGGCTCCTATTGTTTCTCTTTCCATCCCCCTCTGCTCTTAATGAGGCTTTGAAGCTCTCTCTGGGGCTGTAGCCCAATCAGAGATGACTAGCAGTTTCCAGGGCTGACATACCTCATTTCCACTTGAGAATCTGTCCTATGTTTATGGCCACTAGACCACCATGGATGGCCTCTGCTTCATCCAATCATCATTTTTTTTTTCTGATTTAATCCATTAATGATCTTTGACTACTTAGTTTTATTTTTGAATGTTTTTTAACTGATCTTTAAACGCTATGTTTATTTTGATTTGCTTTGAATGTTCTTTGAATAACAGAACTTCCAGATGACTAATAATACAAAGGAGGCTTCAAAAAGTTCATGAGCAAATGGAATGAAAAGACAGTGGAATTTTTCCATGAGCTTTTTGAAGGCCTCTTGTATTTTTGTTCAACATTTCTATTTCTGCAAGAACATACCTTCACATAGTCCTGTACTGTTTCCAAACGGAGGCTTTCCCTGGCTGGTGCTTCGGAGAAGCATCTGTTCTGAAATACATCTGGAGTAGTCACAGTTCCAGAAGCTTCTGGCTAAAGTGCCAAAAGCAAAAGCTGTATCTTGAGCTCCCTGATTTCAAGCACCAAACCTAACAGTGAAAAACAGCAACAACCAAAAAGGCTCCCAAAAGTCTGCCTGAAAACTTATGTTTCAGGGCTTCATCACAGAGAGGTGGTTTAACATTAGCACTCCTCTCCCCTGTCCCCCAGCCATGAGTAACATGGGCTCTGCCTGCCTTGTTTCAGGAATCCTCAAGTTTCACGAGCACTATGTGGGTGACAGTGCGGTGGAGAACCCCGGTGACTTCCAGGTCGGCAGCAGTGCAGGCCTTCCCACGGCAACCAGCTCGGCCCTTGAGCAGCATATCGCCAGCGTCCGGGAGGCCCTGGGAGTGGAGTCCTACTACTCCAGGTATTAAAACGCGCCTATGCCCACCTCCACATTCCTTCTCAGAGGACTTGTATTTTAACTGTGAATCGTCTTTTAGAGCTAATCGGAGAAATCTTTAGAAATGCAGACTTTTGTGCTCAGTCTAGCCACACTGCCTACAGCTGAAACAAATGAGGGGCCTTTAGAAAGTTGGTGGGAAAAACCCATGATCTCTCCATTCCTTTGTTCCATGGACATTTTGAAGCCCCCTGGAGCACCAGCCCTCAGCCCTCAGTGGGCTGTCGTTCTGCTTCTTGGTGGTCATCTCCTTCAGACAGGGAAGGACCACATCAATCGCTCTCCCTCCTCCCCCCATCAAGGAGTGTCATGGACTTGAAGCATAAGCATGATTTTGCATTTCACATACCCAGTTCTTAAGGTTGGGATTGCTTTTTGAATATAGACAGATTCATGATGCTTTTGTGTGTGCTAAAGTTGGGCGCATGTTTGGGGGACTCATTTAGCTCTCATGGCAGTATATGGGCACAGCTATGTGAACTTATAAATATCGAGACTGGAGAAGGGAACCCTTTTTGCAGCAGCAGCAGTTCTAGGCTTATGAAAACAGCCTACATTTTATCCTAATGGTAAACTGGTTTGCACAGAAGAAGTAATGACCACTAATGCGCCCCGTCTCATCTGATCTGGGAAGCTAAGCAGGGTTGGGCCTGGTTAGTACTTGGATAGGAGACCCCCTAGGAATACCGGATGCTCTAGGCTTTAGGACTCCTGGTGTGGCGCTGTAGAGTCAGCACTGGACTGCAAACCACAAGGTCAGTGGTTCAAAGCCACCAGCTGCTCCTCAGGAACCCTATACAGGGTTGCTGTGAGTTGGAACTGACTCGATGGCACTTTACAACAACAACAACAATGCCTTGCCTAGGGGCCAGTTGAGAGGAGAGGGTACCTAGGAGCATAAATAGAATGCCCAGCCATCTTAGTCCCCCACCCAGTGGTTCACATGTGTCAAAAAGACCTGCTTGCGATCCCTGGAACCATCAAGGGAGAAAAGAGCGAAGTTCGAGACCATGTCCGAAGAGGCAGTGATACTAGGGATGGAGGCAGAGACAATGACATGGACAGAAGGAGTGGCTGGGGACTCTGGACTCAGGGAGGGAGAGGGGTTGTGTGCTGGCGGCCAGGGAACAGGCGTGTGGTGTGGGTGTGTACCCTTTGGATGTTTGATGATGTATGCAGGGGAGTGTGATCATTGCAATGAGACAAAGTATGATAGGATGAATGGATGAATGTAAAGATAATGTTCACCCATGTAAACTAACACATAATTCACAATAAAAACTTAAAAAAAAAAAAAAGATCAGATACAATAATTAATTAATTAATTAAAATAAAATAAAATGGACCTCAAGAAGAAGAAGAAGAAGAAAAAAGACCCTCTGGTCAGAGATTCTGGTGTATTAGCTGGTGCCCCAACCTAGCAATGCCTGTGCATTTCCTGAGTGATATGACTTGTAATTGTGAGCATCAGAGATGTTGCTCGGTTTCTAGAGAGATACTGAACCCACACCCCTGAGGGTATGAGCCTATGGAGGTCCTTGTCAGCAGCTGCCCTGATCTTTGGAGTGCTTATGAAGTTGGAGAGGGGCTCTTAGATAAAATAGAATCACTGGAAAAGTGCTGCTGGTATGGTCCTCTTGACCTACCCTCATTCAACAGAAACCAGCGTGGACCTGGGACTTGTGACAGCCACACTAGTGGCAGAGCCAAGATCAAAAGCATTTAGATGTCACCCAGATGCCCAGGCTAGCACTTATTCTGTTTTTGATTTTCAAAATTAATATCCTATTTTGAGAAGATAGCCAGTGCACCTAAGAATGTCATCCCGAGCTTCTGTTTTGATGGAGTATGAGCAGGTGTTAGCCACATGCACACATTCTTGTCTGATTTCTCTAACTACGGCAGTGCATGCTGGAGCATCCCCATCCTTGGCCAGCCTTGAGAGGATATGGACAGTGTATCGTCGTAGGAACTTGTAAGTCTTCCATCTGCAATGTAAAGCACAGATGACCATCAACTGGATTAGCTTGGGACTTGCAAAGTTCCTTCAAGGGCCAGGCACTCAGACCAGTGTGAGTAAACTGCAGACTCACTGAATATGCAAAGCTTATCTGTAGGATAAGCACTGGACTTCCAACCACAAGGTCAGTGGTTCAAGCCTACCAGCCACCCCACAGAAGAAAGATGAGACTTTCTGCTCCCACAAAAACTCACAGCCTCAGAAATGCCATACAGGGTCACTATGAATTGGAACCAACAGATGAAAGTTCACGATAAAGAGGAAGGAGGTTGCCCTTTGACTCTCTTCCCAGCTTCCACCTCACTGGGTACAGTGATTGAACACCAAACACTTACTGAATGTGCTACTGGAGGCTGTCCATAGTCTGCTCTCAGGTCTCTTCTGAATGGAAAAAACGTTATCAGTGCAGGGAGGGAAGAGGGAGGACTGTCACTTATCTGCCTTCCCCCCAGTTAGTCTCTCCCCTCTGTCCTGGACCAGGCATCAGGGACCACTAGAGTGCCCTGTGGTCAGATACTTAGCATCAAGTGGTCACGTTGCCTTTGGTAGCTTCTGTCCCCATGTCAGCCTGCCAGTAAGAAGGCCTTTCCTGATGTTTTGGACCAGACCTTTCATAAATGTGTTCATTTTCATGAGCTAAAGTCCAGGTTCTTGATTATGAGATTTAAATCCGATGCTTTTGTGGCATTCTTTGCATTTAAATCTGATGCTTTTGTGGCATGCTTGCATTTTCTGGAACAGAATTTTTGTGAGGCTGGTTTCTTCCCTAACAGCTTCAAGAAAACAAAGAGAATCTTTTTGAAAAAGTATTAATTGAAAAAAGTAAGGTAAAGAATTATTGTACAAAGTGTCATTTTAATTTTATAATGTTCACAAATTATCTGTCTGAAAGAAAAAAAAAAAATTCTTGGAAGGAAAGAGGCCATAGTGTTAACATTACTATAGTTGGATTGTGGTAGAATTAGGGATGCTTATTATCTAATTTCTTTAGAATATCCTTTTCAGTTTTGTTTTTTCCACAATGAGCATATATTACTTTTATAGTCTGAAATAAAATAACTCTGTTGCTCAGAAGGAAAGAAGAACCCTTTCTGTAATTTGACTTTGCAGAGAATAAAATCAAAACGGTGGCACCTAGCATCATGACCTGGCTCTAGGAAGGCAAGCGGCATTGATTTGACATTCTTGTCTGTCTTGCTGTCTTGCCTTCCTCACTGCTCTCTCTGAGAATACTGTAAATTTCTCCCCTGGAGCTTACACCAAGCTTGGGAATCTCCTGTATGTGCAGCCGCCAACTGAGCTCCTCCAGCCATCTCTAGTCTGAAATTACTAAAGCCCAACTCTTGAGCGTCCTCGGAATCCTCATCATGGTACATGGTACATTGCTTATACCTAAGACTGAAGCATACGCCTTTGTTCTTTTTCTCCCTTTTTCAAGTCTGTAGGTAAATCTTGCAAGGAGCTCTAATTATATAGTGGTTATGAGTCAGGCTGCTAATCTCATGGTCAGCAGTTCAAAACTACCAGCCATTCTGTGGGAGAAAGATGAGGCTTTCTGCTCCCATAAAGATTTACAGCCTCAAAAACCCTATTCAGGATCTCTGTGAGTCAGAACCGACTCCATGGCACATAACCACTACCGCCACCAGCTAAATCTTGCAGATTCTAGATTCCGTTCACTTTTGACTCTCCTGCCATGAGTGCAGGCCACTACTACCTACTATACTGCCTCTCTAACCTCCCTGCTCCATCTAGGCCCCATCAGTCACAGGGTATTCCTACACATGTGCGTGCACGTGCACACGTGCTCTCTCCAAGGTGCGTTTAGGACAATGTTTCCTTGCTATCATCCTGTCCCAGCACAAAGCACCATCATGTTAGGGAGCACGGTGGCTCTGCAGGATAAACATTTGACTGAAAACCACAAGGTCGGTGGTTCGAACCCATCAGCTGCTCCTTGGAGTTGGTTCTGACTCTGAAATACGTTTGGATGGGGGTGTAATTTCAGTGCTTGCCATAGGTGGCGCTGTTTTCCATAGATCCACGTCTGCCTCCCCTGCTTCCCCCCTCCCCTGCCCCCACAGATCAAAATTGCGATATGTTGAAACCACTGTGCAGAACACAAACCTCCCACAAGGGAGATGTTAGGAATTTCCAAACACATCTTTGGCTTTCATTCTGCTGTTTAGCCAACTCCGTGGCTCCTGGCGTGTGCAGTGGCACTTTGGGATGCTCAGCTGAGTGGCCAGCGCACTGTCAGGCAGCATCCACACATGGGTCAGGTCTGGACAGCGCTCCTGAAGGGTTGTGAATAAATGGCAATAACAGGGCAAACACGCCTTCATGTAAATTATGCTAAACCGTGATCAGCTACAGCTGTTGGGTCTTGTCTTTTTCTTGTCAATTTTCTCCATTTCTGAATTTCCTACAGGGCAAGCCATTTGTGTAATCAAGTACATTTTCTTATTTGAAAACACTGATTAGATGACACCACTTCATATATGCTGATGACTTCATTTGGTTCTAGACCCACCACAGGTGGTAGATAATGTTGGTGCTAAGTGCCTTTGAGTCAGTTCTCACTAGTAGCAACCCTCTGTATGGTTTCCGAGGAGCAGGTTTTAATGGTTAAATATTAACACCACAGGTTAGAAGAGAGGCGTATCCACAGCTGTATCTTTGATGTATCTAGTGGGACAGTGAGTTGGTATAACCATGTCAGGAGGTTTGCCATCGCCTCCTAACACTGAATATTCCCTTGACCCAGGTATACACCTTTTGTATAATAGCTAAGCAATTTCTTTGGCATGAGCCAGAATGTTCAGAATTGCATTGTAAACAGTAACAAAAACCTAGAAAGTCCCCTGTGCCATCAGTGGGGAAGTGGATAAGGAAACAGGATATTCACAAAGTGAAATAATATGCAGCTGTCAAAAAAAATGAG